CAACATTTGCAGTATCTTTTACAGTTTCAATTATCAAAGTTGTCAATTGAATTGTGAGAAAAATTTGAAAAAAATCATGAATATTCAGCGTCATTCAAATTACATTTTGCACAGTATTATTTTTTTTTAATTCGTTGTGTATAAATAATGAAGTGAAATTGTGTAAACTTTCGGAAACCGTATTTTTTTAGGCATGAAATCAATTTCTGGTAAATTTCTGAGTATCAATAAATTTCTTGATTCCCAACAAATGATTTTTATGGTGGAAAGTTATTTTTTTACTCTCAATTTTAAAAAATTGTAATTCTTAAGGTCAGCTGGGGCTCAAATGAAAGCTCTGATGCTTGACTACAAAAGTAGAAAACCATTTCACTGGAAAAAAAATGGCCAAAATACTTGGATATCCTCAAAGCTTTCATTGAAGCTTAATTTGATTAAATGATGTTATTATTTAAACTATTAAAATATAAATGTAATTCTTCGTTATGAATCACATAACATTGAAGACTTTATTCCCATAGTTTCCACCATTTCCAAAATCTGCATTAAATAATAGAATAATAATAAAAATCATTCTATGAGCAATGATGCAATAATTGGGCTAATTTAAAATTCTTTCACACGCGTGGAACGTTTTTGTTCCAAACACGTATTACTTAGTCTTGCGTCACCAACTCCATGTAAATTTCATGACTGTTGAATATTTTATCTAATTCACAAGCATGTAACGCGTAAATGCGCGAAATTCATCAGGTTCCTTGAAATGAGTCGACATAAAACTGTTTCATTTTTTTTTCATGTGCAATTCAACTCCGTACAGAACATCCCCTGTGGAAATTACCTATTTTGTATGATATAAAATTCTGCGAGATTGAATACATAAAACCCACGGATGTTAATCCGAAAATGTGTGTCAGCACCCTCTTTGAGATCGCATTCGCAGGCGAAATTCACAAAAGACACACACTAAACATGCCTCGTGCAATTTTTGCATTCAAAGAAGACTCACATAACAAAATACTGTAAAACATCAACAGCAATAATAAGTAGAATAGTTTGTTGAAAAATGGATCCCCTCCATCTCCAATATCACCAATACTACAGTGTAAATATAAAAATAACAAATTTTTTGCTTGAAAATTAATGAAACGAAAAACTCATGAATTCTAATCGTTACTTGAGCCACGCGGGCCCTGATCTATCACCTCATTCACTTGTGAGGAACTTCCTTTTCTTCATTCAAATTTCAAATGTATTGAATTTCATACATTCATAAATGCATTCTAAAAATGAATGATACATATGAGCGAATTCGCCAATTCTGTATATGAAAAATTACGTCAAATTTTTTTTTTTTCTACATTTTATTGAGAAGTATAGTCCAAAAGAAGAAAAATGAGCGCAACCGGAGCCCTCTAACGCAATAATTGGCGGAGATATTGAAGACTGAATTTTGTTCTTTCTAAAAAAAAATTCTCTCGCATTTTTCAAAGGGATCCGATCAATATCTGTATTTGTTGAAAAATAAGGGAAGTGTTATGAATCAATTCTCTGGAAAAGTGGACAATTTTTTTTATTTATTCAGAAAATACTGGAATCCTGTAGAAAACTGCATAATTTTTCTCGAATGAAAAAAACAGACACTTTCCTAGGATTTCCTAGGAAACCACATTTTCACAGTTCTCTATAATTTAGAAAGTGCTGTCCAGGTCAAGAAATGAAGGAGAATTTCATTCATGTCATTCGTGAAAAGAGGAAAATGGGAGGAATTAAAATTAATGGAACAACGTCAACATCTTGAACATCTCGATGTGAAAGAACTTTACAAAACTTTCATCTTTTGTAGATAGAATAGGATTCTCAGTGATATTGATGATGGAATGAATCTCTTCTTTCCCTGTTTCGTATGGAAATAATGAAGACAAAAAATAGAAACCAAAACTAGAGAAAATAAAACGGGCGACAATCTGATAAACTCAAATGCAATAAAGACAATATTTCCCCTCGATAAATTAATCCAATTATCTGGCAAGCCAAGTCAACGGCTTACCATTAAGATTTTCCTTGATATAGGAAGCTATTTCGTAAATATTTCTCGTTTTAATCGTTGATACCAGTCGGTCCCTTAAGCTGTACGCTTTAGTCGGCGTTTTATTGGAAGTTGTTTTCGGTGCTATTCATGAAAATAAAGAAAATAATAACAGAAACATAAACCAACGAAATAATAAACTCAAAATTTCAACACAATATCAACACTAAAAACGCAGAGGACGGTGATAAAATATGGAACGAATTGTGCAATTAGAAAGCACCACATTGCTGATAATAAACTACGAACGAATGAGTACGAGTGGAAAACAACTGTTGTGCTGGTAAATATCACTCTTCAGTGCTACTCTAACATAAATAACATATTCCTCTCTTGAATTTGCATAATTGACGTACAGTCAAGCCGCTTCCGTAGCACGCACCAAGCTAGCGCTGCGTTTCCGAAATGCATACAACATTGCGATTAGTTACATCTTTACTCTCTTCTTTCGAATTGACGATCATTTTTGGCTGAACATGTTTATGGCTGTTAATTATTTGTTATTGGGGGCTGATTAAAACTGATCATTCACTCAGGAATATTTTTATTCGTACAACAGGGAAAAATAAACTAAAATGGAAATTATAGATTTTTTAATTTTTAAACTTTCATTTCATAAATAATTGGAATAAATTTTTATTTTCACGTTCAACGAATTTTAGTGAACTACTTCCTACAAATAATCTAAGAGAATAAGTTGCAAAAAGAATGGAAATCTGTCAATTTTGTTATCTCGTCGTCATTACCGAGATGGTTAAATAATTAGAATAAAGACGAATGTTGGAGTCGAAAATAATAAAAATATGCCTTTGATATTTTGTTTGTTTTTCGTTTGCTCTCAAACGAAAAAAATTATTCCTTTCCTGAACGAATCAGCGATTGTCGATGAATTGTTTAAATTAGTTTCTGGAGAATAATTTGGGCACTCACCAGGCGATAAAAAGTGCGGATCAATGGACTTGGCCGAGTCGTTGCACTCCTCCAGCTCCTGGTACATCGACAAATGCGTCCAGAGTGCACTCTTCCCCTGTTTGTTCTGCAGCCCATGACTCCAAACCCTCTCGAGTAAATCACAGAGACTAGCGACGAGTGTATTCTCCTCAACATCTACGAGAGATTCAGTTCCATGGCCGAGTGCTACTGCCTCTGACCCCATCTTCTCCACCAGCATTCTCTTTGTTTTCGACTTGCAGTCCTGCATTGATCGAGGATTCAGTGATTATTTAACACTGACTGAGAGAAAAAATCTTTTTCATGTTTAAGTTGAAAATTACCAAGAGAATGAAAACTAGTGCGAAATATTTGAAAAATGTCCTGTTTAGTTGTCTCATACAACGAATTTTTTAATAAAATAATAATGATAATATGATTGCAATCTTATATTCTCATAATCTTATAATCTTCATTGTTATTTTATTCACCAGAGCGATTATTCAGGTTTCAGACTTTAAAATTCAAATTTAAATTCATTTCTTTCTGCTAATTTTCAACTTACGAACAACAACAATAATTAAAATAATTGTTAATTTGCATTATTCTCTTCATTTGGCAAAATTTCGAATGGAGTTGATGACCCGAATGAAAATAAACAACGAATCCTGCCAGGGTGACGAGCAGTCGGTGCCTGTTGTTCACCCCATTGATAAAATTCGGCGGATGCATTTACCTTGAGCAATTTTTCGACAAATGTCCAATTTGCTTGGGCAATCAGTGCTGGACTCATGTCTGCCGACAATTTCGTCTGCGGTCTTGGGGATTGGGTCTCCTGATGGGGGGCCGTGGGCGGTTTGCCATTCGTCTCGATCGATTTCATCTTGTATTTCCACTGCGTTTGACCTTTCCTACTGCTGTTAACACAAAATGAATTTCAATTTTCGAGAGACAATTGTGATTGCAGAGATATCCGGGCTATATTGCTCCGAAATGAATTTCTCGTCTAAAATTTCTCTGAGAGAATTTTTTCTTTTATCAATTTCGGCCCGAGAATTTGAAATTCATTCATTTCAATCCGTTCATTCAATTCGAAATTTCAATTTCTTCCTAATTTTGCCAAAGTATGAGCTACTACGTATTACGTATTTAGATATTATTCCAGATTTATCACGTGCATGATGATGATTTTTGAGAATGGCCGGGCGTCATCATAGAGAAAAAAGAGAAATTCTCTTCTAAGAACTTTTCGGGCGGAAAAATTCTGGGAGAGAAATTTTAAGCGAGAATTGTTTCCAGACGAATATAGCCCTAAACCCATAGCAGATGATTCACAGAGGATTTAACAGGATTATTAAAGCTTACCGGAGTATACTGTAATCGGAAGCAATGATTGAATTGATAAAATGAGTTAATGAGTTAGTTAAACATCTTTAGGTGAGGATTAAATAATATCAGTGGTTGTTACCTCTGTGCAGGCTCCTTATTGAGGGCCGTTGCGTCCAGCAATGGAAAACTTCTGAAATACGCAGCTCTGTGGGGTACAATTTCAGTTGGAGGAGTCGCCTCGAAATCCACGTTATTCAATTTATGCTCCAGCAGCCTTTGAGTCTCTCCCACTGTCGTCGTCACTTCGTAGGTTGTTGTCCTCAGAATTCCTTCGCCTCCTTTTTTCCTACAATGCGAAGTCATAAAGTTGAATTGGGGGAAGATATAAATCAGTAGCGAAACGGTAAAACTAGATGAGGGAAGTTGATTTTGAGTTGGGGTTTCGGTGAATGCCTTAGGATCTGGAGGGAATTGATGTGTTTCCACGTAGATTTTTATGGAAATTTTATCTCTTGGTGATGTCTGAGTACAATCTACTTTTAGATCATTCAAATTCGATAGGATTTCCTTCAAAAGTCCCATTTTTTAAAGGATATTCAAGTACTTTGGCTGTTTTTTCTCCTTTTGTAGTCGAACATCAGAGCTTTTTTTAGGCCCCATTTGACCCTAAGTTTCCGGAAATTTTACAGTGACTTTATTATTTTATTACTTAAACCGATACTATGCCTAAAAAAAAAGTTTTGCGAAAGTTTAACCAATTTCAATTATTAATTTACAAACAACGAATGCTGAAAAAAAATATTAATTCTGTTAAATTCCTCACAAAATTTAATTGAAAAATTTGATGATTGAAAATTGTTGAATCTACGGCATGGTCTGTACAAAACTGTAAAATATACTTGGATATCCTCAAATGTACGACACATTTTGGTAATGATACGACGCACCGAGTCGATCCTTTCAAACCTTTTCATTCCTGATAAAGTAAAAATATTTCCCCCCTACCATCTTAATCCTGGCAGCATTCACCTATTCTTACTTCTATTTCTGCTACGCGTTAATATTCTACATCCCCCACAAACTCATAACTGATCCTGTGATGGTTCTCAGGGGATGCCATTCCCCCAAGACCCGAATAAAAACCTCCCGTCCCACATCATCTCCAAAGAGCAAAAAATCGCATGCATAATTCCTCCCAAAATAAACACTCACTTTATCTGCGAGATCCTCTGGTCAAAGACCTTGATATTGCAATCGAGTTCATTCCACGAGGCCATAACTTTATTATCCACAAGCGATGCAAACATCTGCGTCTCCAAGAACCTCGAGAGAAACGGCAGATGCTGGGCAGGTTGATCGGACAAGAATGTGGCCTTATCAAACACATGCATGCTGTCCCGATTATTCATCCACTCGTCCTTATCCTGACTAGGATGAATGACAAAGTGATCGTACCCAGAGAACAGATGCACAAACCGATTGAGAAAAATCTCCCTGACAGCATTATTGAATATCAGAGTCTCCCTGTACTCCTCCTGGGGACTCAACACCTTGTCCTTATCCTTCGCCATATTCTCCACCGAGTCAATATCATCAAGACTGATTCCCGTCTTCTTCACAATATCCACAATCCTCTGAAGTGCATCAGAATTCGGCCCAATCTCATCCCTATCCCAATCAAGCACATCATGCAGCGAATGTTTTCTCCTTGGCACATGGAAACCCGAGCCTGGTGGAAGTGTCAAACTGCTGGTCATAATGTCACCACTCAAATAATTAATGACCATACTCTCAGTCTTCTCATTGTGTGGTACTTTGTACTTATTCAACAGTGTCCTTATCTCCGCGAGAAACTGCATCTTCCTGGGAAAAACTGGCAACTCCTCCGGAAATTGGCTAGTTTGCTTATCAATATCAACGTAACAGAGATTGGCTTCGCTGGCTATTTTGAGGTGGCTTCCCTCGGTCTGCGCATGAAGGCCCATTATGAAAGGTACTGGTGCATCGAGAAAGTGGTGGAGGCTTACTGGTAGGATTGGCACGTAGACATGCTGCCAGGAGAAGGGAAAGAGTAGAGCTGTTATGCATTCAGCTACCACCATCAGTTTGTGGAAATCTGTGCTTCTCAGGAGGACCTGGTTCTCCAGGAGGACACAGGTGAACAGCTGAAGGACGCACTCAGGCCCCAGCCAGGTGAACATGTCCTTGATGGAGTAGTCGAGGAGGGGGAGATCTGTGCTGAGGTTTGGGTAGAGGAGAAAGAGCTCTAGGGGAGCTTTGGCTGGCTCGTCGTTTGGTACGAAGAACTTCAGGGATTTTCCTGGCAGGGGGACGGGCACGTTGTAGAGCAAGTTGTATACGTAGGATTCGAGGCTCAGGCCAGGGCCTGGGTGACGAGGGACACATTTGTAGAGATTCGTGAGGAAGGTTTTGGCTGCGTTCAGGTAGGGCTGCTGGCAGATCAGGGAGATTGATTTGGTTACGAGGAGTTTGTCTTTGGTCGAGTCGTAGTAGGCGAGGGCTGCTCCTGGCGAGTGAGCCGACAGTTTGAAGTGACGGGGGAGGGATCGCGTGTTGTGGGTTTCTTGGCCACGTCTTGGGGCGGGTGGGGTGCCGTTCTGACCGCTGCTGAGCTCGGTTATGAACATTGCTTGGAGGGTCTGCATGGCTGCGCAGATCTTACGGTTTCGGCACTCCTCGTAGAAGACCAGGCTGAAACCGTAGGTTCGCCTGCCGTCTTCTTTTGTGAGGACGAACGAGTGGAATGAGGGCTCCACTGAGTGCTTCTGGGTACGGAAGCGAAGACCGCTGGGGAGGCACAGCTGGAATTTCAAGGGTTTCCGTGAGTTTGGGGGCGATTGCTCGGGGATTTTATGGAAAGTGGAGGGGTTAGGAGAGATTGGTGAGAGATTTCGCTTCTTCAATTTTCGAATCTCGGGGTTTCATTCATTTTATTGTAGCGCAGACGAAGGCTTTAGGAACACTGTTAGAAATTTTTTTAATTCCAAGTCGCATTTGAATTTTCAATATTGGGGATTTTAGTTGAATTTCGAGATCAAATCGGTCAAGGAATTTCGTAGGCGCTTTGGACATTCGGCGGAACTGAATTTTTCATGTTAGGCGATGACTAATATTGAAATGAGCTTGAATTCTCAAACTCATGGTTCGAATTGAATACTATTGAATTGAAATTACTTATATTCCAGAAATCAACTGATTTTTTACTTGAAATTTCAGGGGTAATTTTCTGGGTTTGTTCTTGATTATTCAGAGTAAACTAGGAAATTGGAACGACTCAATTAAATGAATCAAAGTTAAAGTCAAATGGGTGAGGCAAAATGGATATTTTTTACTTCTTTGTAAATATTCATAACTCAACAATAAATTGATCAATTAATTTCAGTCTGGATTCATCACAAAGAGGGAGAATTGCACTTTACGATGAAAAATAATCCCGTTTCATCAGCATTCCAATGAATTATTAATATTTAAGAAAAATTCAAAAGGGTCCATATTTCCCCATTCTCTTCTGCACGTAATTTTCATTGATAATTTACCATACACACTGCATGCTCGTCGAATGGATTCCAGGGCACACTGTCCGGATAATGCCCAAGAACTTTGCTCTTGTAAGCCCTGTCCAACGGTGTACATTGCAGCGAATCTCCTGAAATAAAGGCGAGAATGAAAACTCGTTAATTAAGAACTATGGTTAAAGGTTAATCAGAATGTACTTTGCACGCACGAGTGGCAACACAGCGTCAACTTGACCGCATAGTAAACGGAAGCCTTTCCACAGCCCTCTCCGCACAATACGTACTTTGCATTTTATTTTAACTCCATTTAACTCCATGTGTTGCGATAAAACACAGACGTTATTCCAAGCTCAGGGACGAAAATAGAAACAATGTGACGTGTGGAGTACGGCGGAAGGGTCTTCCTAACGCTCGTTTCAATCATGTTGGGTCTGATTGGGAAACTCGAGTCCAATCTCCGAATGAGAAATTGGGTTCCGCTGGACGAGATTAAGCAATTCCTGTTAATATATTTTTCTTTCGTGTCTTCGGCGTTTTGATTCTCCTTCCGTGTGGGAATTTTGAGAATGGAAGGATTTACTTGGTTGACTATTTGTGTATTTTTCCTCATGAATGGTTAATGTTACCAATATTGGTTTATTTTTTCCTCATGTGGTGATGAATGAGAAGGGAAAACTTCGGATTTTCGTTCGCAGTATCAGAAATTTTTGGAATTCAATTCATTGCCGCGAATTGAAAATAAATGGTTTACGGGATTTTTCATTCATCTTGGAAATTCAACAAATTTATAATTCGAAAACTCATTGCGACATTTGTACTTCATATTCAGTTGAATTTTCAAAATTTCTAATAATTTTTGTCATCATGTGGATCTGAAAATTCATTGAAGATTTCTGGGAAAATATCTGGGGATTTTATTTGAGATAGTCGTTGTTAAAAATTTCAATATTTTTTACATGAAATTTCATGGACAGTTGAGTGCTGATTTTCAGGAAAGAGGCATTTAATTCTTCTCAAGCGGGAATAAATTATAAAATTTCAAGTTCCACTGAAAATGGAATGACATACCAAATTTTTTAGCACGAGAACTTCTCAACTCACTTAAATTTTCCTTGAAAACATGAATATTTCGTATCAAATTTCCCTGCATTTTTCCTGATTTCAACCAATTTTCAACAACAAATGACCTGAAATTGACCGTTTGCATTAATAAAAATGTTTGAATAGAGGAATTAAAAGAAATTGAGCATGCGTGTTCTCCCTGAAAGAGTGACCTCATGTTGAAGTCCACCAATAATCAACTAGTCATTTCCCCGCCTCGACCCCCCTCTTTTTCATTATCGTTTTGGTTTGGCACCGTAACGAGTGCACAAACATTGGTACATTGAAGGTGAAACGAGCTGTACAGACGCGTGTGCAGACACAGTGGCGCTTCTTCCTCCTCGAGGGGGCAAAATTGCGTGTTCAACGATTGTCAGAGTGGTTAATTGACCGTGGACAATTGCAAACGCAATTTCTCAGTTAGAGTCCGAGCACACGGAGAACAAAAAAAAATAGGATGTATAATGCTTAAGAAGACAAAGGCTTGGCCACTGCGAGGGACTTAGCATTGAGGAGTTATTGAACAATGACAATGATTGATTAGGAGCAAATCTATTTGCTTGAAGGTTTACGCTCTCAGCTCTACTCTACTCCACCCGAATAAAATCCGAAGGATTAGACGAAAGGGCTCTCTTAGAATATTTCTTTCACGAGATCGAATCCGCGCGCCTATCACTACGATTGATTTTATATGATTCATCACGTCATTATTGTAAGTTAATTTAAATCAATATGTTTTTTCACGCTGATGATGAAGCTGCAGAAGATTTAGGCGAATCTAGGAGTGTACAAATGTTTTTAAGTAATATACAAACTCTTTCGCACCTAAAAAACATTGTACATATGATTATTTGACTCTCCTACACTAAAAAATTCCCTAAATTGAATTCTCCGCTAACGAATATTCTGCTAGTTTCAGCTTCATTTCGAAATGATGAAAACTTCTTTTGAAAATCCATGAATTTCTCATTATCGAAAAGGAATGGAAATTTCTGTTGAGAATCAGTCGGAGATACGTCGAAATCCATGAAAACTTCAATTGAGGATCAACAACTGTTCTGTTGGAAATGATATTGGTATCGAAGATCAGAACGTAATTCAATGTTATCGATGGAAAACCATGAATATCTGGATACTAAATACTACGAACCCGTTCTTTTATACAGAAACATAAATGGAATAGAATAGAATTTATTTCTCTTGATGTTACAACGGGTATTTTTTCTTTGTTTTACATCTCCACGAGTCTTTTCTCCTTTTATGTATCTCTTTAGTCATACTTTGCATTACAGACATAAATATATATACTATTTACTCAAAGATATAACTCTTTGTAGACATAATTTTTGATTTCGGCTCAAAAAAATTTTTGTTTGGCTCGTTTGTTTGACGTTTTTTTCGTTATTGTCTTGGGATCATTACCAACATCATCAACCAAATCAATAGCATCATCATCATGCATGCGATTTCTCTTTCAGACATTCCGGAATAAACGTGTAACATCTCCTATGTATATAAGATGCGGATGCGGGAAAAGAGTGATTTGAACTCCGTAAACACCAGCGTATTTTACGTTCTTACGAGTGAGTATACGAGCAGAGGCGCGTTTGAAGCTGCGAGTTATCAGGGCGCTCTTTGTGCCCCTGAGAAGAGGTCACGAGATACATTCAGAAGCTAAAAATATACGTCAGTTTAAAGCGCAGAAAAGCCATCCATGAAAAAGCCCCAGCCAGGGGAAGTTTATCTACTTCGTGAAACAATAATTCGTCGGTAGCGTGAGAATACTATTGATTTGGTCAATGCACGCACTGGGAGACGAGGATTTTGACCCAAGTCTGCAATGGGCCATTGAACGGCGGCATGTTAGGCGGTAGTACACATGTCTGAGACGATTTAAATTGTGTGGTTAGAGGGATGTATTTGTAAGAGGCGAGGAGCAAGTTTATTGAAGGTAGTCTGGTGGGAGCGATCGATCTGTTGGGAAAATTGAATGATGTGACGTGGAAGTGTCGCTGATAACAGAGGGATTTTCGTGGGAGTAATGGGGTTTTTGTAATAAGACCAATTTCATAATTTTTGGCGGAGGAATATTCAACAAGTCTAGTGACAATTAATATTTGTATGGTTTTTTTACTTGAAGTGTGGGAATTTTCTACTAGAATTATTTGTGCATTTAGCAGAATTAGAATTATTGCATTAATGCATTACATTGTAATTTTGCAAATAATAATTTCATTTTTATTTGAGCCCCATTTGACCCTAAGTTTCCGGACATTTTACAATGATTTTATTATTTAAACTTTGCAGGTGTGAATTTAAATTTCGATACTGAACCGTTAAAAAACATTTTAAAAATCTGAAAAAAATTAGCAAGACACCTTATGGAGAAAGATTGATGAAATAATTAAAAATTGCAATTGTTCACCATAAAAATCATTTGTTCGAAATCGTAACAAATTTATTCATATTCATAATCCTACCAGAAATCAATTTCATCTCTAAAAAAATAAAATTTAAACATTTTCAATTATTTATTCATAAACAACGAATGTAAAAAAATAATTCTGTGCGAAACGTAATAAATGGAAACAGGTGAGTCTTGATATCCCCGAAATCAATTTACTTATTCCACATCACCACTTCGCCAGTGCGAATGAAAGAAGGATCTCCCACTCAAAATTAAAACTAAAATCCCCTCCAACTCTGGCCGATCCTCTTCATCGGAAACTCCCTCGACTGCACATTCAAATTCATTCAAACAGCTGAGGTGAATCGTCTCGACTTTTTTTTTCACCAGGGGATTTCAACTTTTTCCGTTCTCTCTGATGTAGAAACGATTACGCGTGAATCCCTCAGTGACTCACACGGACATGGGGTTCCCATAGCCCCTCCCCTCGGCCACCCTCTCAACCCCCTTTGTCGTCGGGTTTCCTGAAGCAATACACGAATGAAAGTAACCCTCGAGTGCGCGTTACACACTCAGAGGCCGCACAATAGAATTCACAGATGCAATTCATTTGTGTATCAGTGGGGAAAACCAAATTTTGGTAATATACCAATGAAACGAATGAAAACGATCTGCGTGACATTTTTTTTTATCGTCGGAAATAAAGTTGGGGTCGATTTTCTTCAATTCAAAACTGTTCTGAGATCGAGCCACTTGACTTATTGTTCCGAGAGAGATGTTTGATTCGGTGAAATGTATCGTTTGAGTGGAAAAAACACAATATTCATTAATTAAATGAGACCCAATGATTACGGAATCTCATTTGTTCGAAAACTGAACGATTCACAACCTGAGAAATGGCGTATTTAAATCAAAAGAACGATTTATTTGATCGAAATAAAGGATTACTACATGTCAATAAATTTACATTTCGAATAAAGATTAGTAAAGTCTTCATTTGCATCAAATAAACGATTTGTTAATATTTTAAAAAAATATTCACTTAATTTAATTATCCATGTGAATGAAAACACAAATGAAAATCAAGTTTAAGTTTGAACGCGCTATTTCGATAAGTCCACTTATTTGGCAAATAGAACATTTCTCTGGGTGCCCTTTGAAATGAAAAATCTTAGACAGACATTTTTTATCTATTCAGAACAAAACACACAAGACTAGCAAGAGCAACTCGATCGCATTCCGGAACTTATATTAACTATATCATGAGGTCTTACCACGAGCCCCGATCACAAAGAACAAAGCACGAAGTGGAAGAATCTACTGCAGATACTGCGCTCTTTATGAAGACTGTTTCTCTCTAATCAGTTGCTAATCAATTGCTCTCGAAGTGATATCACGTCTCAATAAAGTACAGATCAATGTCTGATTCATTCACCTTGCTTCCGATTCAAGCAGTAACTAATTCCCAATCGAAAATTCCCTACAACCTCAAATGTGCAGAAATCTTGAAGTCGTCACGAGAAACCACGACGAAATGGCAGAATTAGCGAGAGGCATCGAATATCTTTGCTGAATCATTCGTAAAACCTCAACTCTTCTTACAATTCTACGACATTGCGGTGAAATTTCGTTGGGTCACTTGAAAATATGAAAACTGACTCTGAATATTCCAGAAGAATGGAAAATTTCGTTCATCAAGAATATTATCATTGAATATTCCTCAGAAAATTCCCGACAGAATATTTTGTGCTGCTCTTTTTGTAATCATCGACTGTAGCCTCTCAAGCCCCTATAATTTTTCAAAATAAACAGATAACTCAAATGCCCAATTTTCTATACAACCAGGGACGATGGATCAAATTGACGTCAATTGGTGGCAATGGGGGAGAGTATCGTTGCTCGACATTTCATTGTATCTACGAAATTAATTTAGTGGACAAGGCAAGTCCTTCTCTCAATTTTACTGATGAGATAGTCCACTTCGAGCTCGGTATCACCGAATGGAGCAGTTTGGTGTTGCGTTTGTGATAAGTTTATCTTCACTCTAGGTGATACAATGGCCAGGGGTACAATATAGAGGGGACCGAACAGCTGCAGTTCGATCTGAGGAGAGGGGGATACCATCTTTGGGGACTCAAAAGTCCCCGGGACTCGTCTCGTGTCCTTTTATTTACTCTCCATTCAACTTTGCTTGAACTGGCGGGAACGCTGAATGAAAGACGCGGAATGCTTTCCTTGGGAAACTGAAGCCAAAATATTGTGCACTGGAAAGTGGGGTAAAATCGGCAATAACTCGAGATCGCCAGATTGAAATTGAACACTTTTCTCGTTTTCGAGGTATTTTTTTGAGCTTCAAAATGAGCTCTGATTCAGCCAAATCGTATCATTTACTCGGGAGATATCGAGGATTGGAGATGGTCCATTTCAATAAATATATTATAAAGTATTCAAAGTACTTTAGAAACTGAATACTCTGTATTGAGATTGGAGTGGAGCGGTGATGAGGGGAATGAGAGCTCTCGGGAGAAGAAACGAGGGAAAATGAGGGATCGGAGATGTAAGAGGACTCCTTTGAATATGTGTTCTGAGAAAAATCTGTGCAGCTGATCCTCACCAAGCGGGTGGCATTCTTTTTACACTCGAGGATCTTTTCACTTCCTGTGAAAGACATTGTTCCACGGGACGGAAGGATGTTTGGGTTTCAACAATGAAACATTCCGAGGATAACGAGACTCGAGGAATTTTCATGGTTTTTTATGCTCTAAAATGCAACAGTTTTAAAAAATGGCATCTCTGAAAAATAGGCGATATTCGAGTGTTTTATTTTAAATTTTGAAAATAATTGAATACATTTTTTTCATCCACTTGAAGAATTTCATAAAATTATTATTGACTGAATGAAACGTTACATGAAACCATAAAAACATTTAAAAAAATATTGGCAATTCGTTCAAACGATTCCAGAGAATAATAAATAAAAATAGTAATGGAAGTTGGATTCGCTGTCCGATCTGTTTTTAAATGGGATGTTAAATGAATATTGATTAGCGATCATTAAGTGGAAAATGATGAAATCTCTATATTATTAAGTTTCCCCCTAAAACACATAAGTAAATAAATGATGGGGATCATTCTCATGAAATAGATATTTATGATTGTTCATTCGCAAAAACAAAAATGAAATGTTGAAAATACATTCGAACAATTGAACAGAATTATCATTGACTGAAATAAACATGTGATAAAAACATTTCACAATTTATTACTTCAATTCGTTCAAACGATTCCCGAGAATAATAAATAAAAAAATAATAATGTAAGTTAAATTCGCTGTGTAATCTATTTTTAAATAGGCTATTAAACGAATATTGATTAGCAATCGTGACACAGAGAATTACAAAATCTCTGTTTCCATTAATTTCCCCCTGAAAACCCCGAATAAATAAAAACTTCCACGACAGCAATTGCGGATAAGATCTCACCACTGTGCATTGTGAAATCGAGAGCACTGGGGTCACATCACTCACAATAAATCCTCCGAATAGAAGTGAAAGGCTCCGAAAATCCACCAGGACCAGTAGGCTCCCAACAATCAAACCCAAGAATTCGTGAAAATAAATTTCAAGAAAATCATTCGACTCACCGAAATACTTGTCTGGCTCGAGTCCAGAGTCCTTGTCGAGTCCGCAGATGACAAAATAATCCGCGAATCTCGTTGGATGTTGATCAGGACCACCGCGGAGCAGCCCGAGGCTTCCGTTCATTTTATCAGATGAAAAAAAAAACTCAATAAAACTCCGCGAAACACATGAATATTCGCGATTCAAACAAAACAATTTCAAGTGTGACGCTCTGTCGATGACACACTTAGCCACATTTTTCAGTATTTTTTAATCTGTCATTTCACGTGTGGAGGAGTGAAACAACAGCTGATGGTGACTGATGTTGACTCAAACGGGGCATATCTCGTACTGCTGCAAATAATTGATCTTTACTGGTGGAGGCGCGCGAAGTTGGCTGCAGGGGGGACTGGGCACTCACACTGATGCACGCGCGTTCAATTTACTCCGAAAAATAGATCAATTGACCCCGGGGAAGAAGAAAATTAAAAACTCTCGGAATAAAAAAAAGTCCCATTGATTGATGGATTAAACTTCCACTCACTCGGGAGAATTTTTCGTCTGATTGGTATCAAACTAATAAATTCCGCTTGTTGACTTATTGACGAAGAGAAAGGGAAAGTGCGCAGACACTGCTCCATTTTTTCTTCCTTATCGACGCCGGGTTGTGAAATTGACTGAGAAGTCTCGGAGATTCGAACCCATTTGTATTTGTTGTACGCACGTGGTGGAGTTCTGGGTAAAGTTTGTTGTTCGAAAGGGTTGGACCGAGTGGAGTAAATCAGGGTTGTGGTTTGAGAGCAAAAGTGAGAGGGATTAATTCGGAAAATGCAGCACGACGATGTAAGTTTGATTTATTTGGGAGAGCGATGAGTGGAAATTCAGGGGATAACCTAGAATCTTGGTTTCAGGTTGTCTGGAGCATCATCAATAAATCGTTCTGCTCGTTCAAAGTCAAGTAAGTGGGTTTTTTTATTCTGAATGGAAGCATTGCAATCCTTCGATTTTCACATTCTCTAATTTTGAATAATTAAGTGGCTAAAGTAATTCTAAAAAATCTGAAATTTTGCCAGATTACAGGTCTTAATGAGGACTAACTCTGTGCAAAATTTCAGCCCGATCGATCTAATAGTTTTGGAGAACAAGTGATTCGTTTGCAGTGGACCAATTTCGTTTTTTTTGTTTTCAAAATATTCGTTTCGATGTTTTCTATCTAAATCAATCAAAATATACATACNTGATTCGTTTGCAGTGGACCAATTTCGTTTTTTTTGTTTTCAAAATATTCGTTTCGATGTTTTCTATCTAAATCAATCAAAATATACATACTCGTTCATACAAAGTTTTCAAGATATTCCCGTTTTTCTGTTGTTTCATAAAAAACTTTGGAAACACTCTAGCTTGTGCAAAAGTGGAGATATCAACTTGTTTTTATTTTGCTTGCAGCACCAAGGGCCAGAGGTTCTGCAGGAATGAGTACAACTTGACAGGATTGTGCAGTCGGGCGTCGTGCCCACTGGCCAACAGTCAGTATGCCACTGTCAGGGAGGAGAAGGGAATTATTTACTTGTTTATGAGAACAGCTGAAAGGTGAACAGCATTTTTTGTTACTGAGAATGGCTATTCCAGACCATTAATACTCCACATTTTTTTTACTCAAGTGAGGGACAAAGTTCAAGCCTAAACAGTCCATTTTGCCCCCTAGTCCCGTATTTACTTCATGTTGAGGAAGGTTGATCCAACAACTCGAGTTTATTATTCAGAAATGAAATTGACAATGTGCACTTCAAATTTTAATGACCTGTTTTATTTGCCTGGGCACTCCAGCTTTTTTCTCGACAACTGGATTTAGCATATCTTCTCACTTTTTCTATTTTCTATTTTCTGTTTTCTGAACATATGATTACTTGAGTCTTCCAGTAGGAATTATCAATTTAAAAAATAATGAAGAATGAATGAAGACGAAATTTGTTTATTTAATTGTGTTGAAGCTAATGCAACTAATTTATGTTAATTATTAGAAATGTTGGTTTCATTGGGGAATGTGGGGTAAAATGAACACTTCCGACATTTTTAAAAATAATTAGAATTCCTCTTTTCTACAATTACTGTAAACAAACGATTACAGTATATTAAAAAATAAGCATAGACATCATATTATGTTACTTGATAAGCGAAATAGAGGCTTCAAAAATCGTTACATTGGATTTTGAATATTATGGAAACATTTTCCCGTGACCATTTACATCTTCATTGCAGAATTCATGAGCCCAAGAACCAATGGGAGAAAGTTAAATTATCCAGGAACTTCGAGAAAGCCATTCACCAGATAAACGAGAACTTGCTGTACTGGCCGGGGTTCATCAAAGCGAAATGCAAGCAGAGATTTGTGAAGATCACTCAGTACCTCATTCGTACGAGAAAGCTGAAGCTCAGGCGTCAGAAGAAACTTGTTCCATTGCAGAGGAAGATCGAGAGGAGGGAGAGGAGGAGAGAGGAGAAGGCTCTCATTGCTGCCAAGCTCGATACTGCTATTGAGAAGCAGTTGATGGACAGATTGAAGCAAGGGATGGTAAGATCATCCCTTCAAGCTTTTTTATCAACGACGAATTGTCAAGACTAATTCGATTTCCCCATTTTTCCTGAAAAAACTCTTTGAGCCTGATTCATTCGAAAACTGGGCCGACGAGACACATGAAAGTCACTCAAAAAAGAAAAAAAAACAATTAAAATGAAAAAAAACTTTGAGGAATTTTCTCAGAGTGATTTGGAGTCTTTGAAATTAATTGTGCCAATATTTTTATTGATTCAATTGTTTTATGTTTTGCAGTACCAGGACATCTACAACTTCCCACAAAGAGTATTCGACAAGGCAGTGGAAACTGTCGAAGTCGAGGGCGAGAGTGAGCGAGAAAGTGAAGCTGAGGTAAACATAAATTAATAATAAATCAATTGTTAATTGGAAGATTTCACTCCATTCTGGAGTGGAGTCGTCAGAAGTGATGAGTGAAATAATTATTCATCATTCGATTGATTTATCTGATTGGAATTCAGGAGGAGAGTGAGCAGGAAATTGAGAAGGAAGTTGAAATGGAGTTGGAAGCAGATGAAAATGCCATTCAGAGGAATGGAGGGAGATTCGTGGAGGCTGCCAGTGACAGTGACGAAGACGATGATGATGATGATTATGAAGAAGAGGTAATTATTCTTTCAAAGAGTGAAAATTTATATGAATTTTAATTTTATTTGAATAAAATTTGAATTATGAATTGTAATATTTCAAAGTCATTATGATATTGAATAATTTCATCATCAGGGTGGAGAGAGTGATTCTGGGCAGAGAGAACGAGTCGACTTGTCTGATAGCTTCGAGAGTGACACTAGTGATATCGAGGTTTGTATTTCATCATTAATAAATGAATTTATTAAACACCATTAATTAATTATTAATAATTTATTGATTGACGTTTTCAGGATATCACACCCACAACGAGCAAATCAAAACCAAAATTGGTTAAAAGCAAAAAAGGAAAGTCCAAAAGACCTAAAGTCGAAATTGAATATGAAACTGAGGATGCACCTAGAGAAAGACTACGAGCTTAAGATTTGTTGTTATGTTAAAATGATAATTTTTTAGTGTAATAAAGATTTTTTCAAGCACAAAATAAAATCCCTACTATTTTACTGGAAACATCCAAGATATCACATTTTGGCCCCAGGTGAAATTTTTTATTTTATTTTTCACTTTTTCCACATACTTTTGAGTTTTGAATAGCCCGTCACTTGAATCATTGGAATCAATGTTAACCTGGCGAAAAAATTCGATTTTGCCGAAAGTCGATTTCCCCTGCGTTTTTTCACTTCCTACACCCTCCACAAGATAAATTAAATTATTAT